ATGTTCTTGTGTGGGTGGACAGGTGACGTGTAGTAGGCCTAAAAGGGGCTCGGACTGTCCCAAACCGACCCCCGCACCCTTCCCAAATCCCCCAGGTAAGAGAAAGAAAATAAATATGAAAGACGGGGAGAAAAAACAGTGGCAATGTTCCAAACCCAAATGAGTTGTCTCTGTGTCTTCATACTGTACATAGGCAGTTACCTTGTAAGACAGCATCCTAGCCAAATCCTGACTGATTTGAATCACTCTGAGAGAAACACTTTCAGAGTTGGACGTTAGACTCTAATTAGAGTTACTCCAGTTAGAGTATTACTAAGCTAATGAGTCAGTGCTGTAAGTATCACAAAAATGTATAGTAAAAGCATATCGAAAAATAAATAAAAGCTTATAGAAAATATTTATATGCACATTAGTTTTAATATCTGTATTATATTTGTATATTTTGAAGTATATTTAAAATTATAACTGAAAATGTATAAAATATCTGCATTTTAATAAGAACAAATTTCTTAGTCCTATTCTCAGAACTGACAAAAATAGGTATAAAAACGTTTCACATACTGCCTACTGTTTCAAAACATCTGGAAGTTCCTATAATGCTTAAAATTGCTGTCTAGATAGGCATCACACTAAGGTTTTGAACAGAGCCACAGAATATTCAGGCTGAGAGGATGAAACAGTGGCTGCTTAGACTTACATCAGTCGCAGTTAAATCTAGTAAGTTGTTTAGATGTTGATAATTGTATGAAGGTGGCGATTGCTGTGGTGATTCCTGTGGGCAGTGCCAGTACAATCAGCGCTTGTATGAAAACGGCCAAACGTTCAAGGACCCGGATGATGCCTGTAAGACGTGCACTTGTCAGGTACACGCTATTGGAAATCCTAGATTTGACATTTTATGAATGTTTAATACCAGACAGAAACGGGGTTCAGGGTTTGTACGAGCAAGTATGAGCAACTATTGAAATGATTCAATGTTTATTAAATGTTTAAATTTTGGTTTTAAAAATACAGTAAAAACAGTAATATTAGTAAATATTATTGCAATTTGAAATAACAATTTTCTGTTGTAATATATTTTAAAATGTAATTTATTCCTCTGATGCATAGCTGAATTTTCAGCATCATTACTCCAGTTTTCAGTGTTACATGATTCTTCAGAAATCATTGTAATATGCTGATTAAAAACATTTTTAAAGGAAATATTATTGCAATTCAAAATAACTGTTTGAATTTGAATATATTTTAAAATGTAATTTATTCCTGTGATGAAGAGCTGAATTTTCAGCATCATTCTCCAGTTTTCAGTGTCACAAGATCCTTCAGAAATCATTCTAATATGCTGATGAATTTTTTTTAAAGTAATGTTTACAAACTTTTGACAAGTACTGTCAATAAAATACAGCTGGATAAAACAAAAACTGTGTCCGTCTTCATTTCAATTCAATGTTTATTAAATGTTTAAATTTTGGTTTTAAAAATACAGTAAAAACAGTAATATTAGTAAATATTATTGCAATTTGAAATAACAATTTTCTGTTGTAATATATTTTAAAATGTAATTTATTCCTCTGATGCATAGCTGAATTTTCAGCATCATTACTCCAGTTTTCAGTGTTACATGATTCTTCAGAAATCATTGTAATATGCTGATTAAAAACATTTTTAAAAAAGTAATGTTTACAAACTTTTGACAAGTACTGTCAGTTTTATCAGCTAATTTGTTTACATGAACGTGTGTGTGTGTGTGTGTGTGTGTAGGATGGTCAGGCAACATGTGGTTCGCCTGCATGTCCCCAACCGAGGTGTGCTAATGCATACACTCCTCCTGGAGAGTGCTGTCCCTGGTGTCCAGGTACACTTTCACTCAACTAACCTCAGAAGATAACTTGATCTTAAGTTGTGCACACTAACAGTTAGTTTCCTCTTGTTGTTTTCTTCCTTTTCAAGACTGTGAATATGATGATAACCACATCATTACTAATTTCAAAAAGTAACTCAGATATTCTCTTGTAAATTAAAAATGCGTTTACTTTACTAGTTACTTGAAAAAAGTAATCTGATTATGTAACTCGCGTTACTTGTAATGCGTTACCCCCCAACACTGATCATGACTGCCCTAAAGACATTAAAAAAATATTACTGACTCCAAGCTTTTGAACAGTAGTGTATATGTATCCGTTGCATTCTGTGTCCATGTATGTAGGATGTACTTGGAATGGTGTTCAATATGAAGAAGGAGCCACATGGACTGACGCTGGCCAAACATGTTTTTGTGTGGGTGGACAGGTGACGTGTAGTAGGCCTAAAAGGGGCTCGGACTGTCCCAAAATGACCCCCGCACCCTTCCCAAATCCCCCAGGTAAGAGAAAGAAAATAAATATGAAAGACGGGGAGAAAAAACAGAGGCACTGTTCCAAACCCAAATGAGTTGTCTCTGTGTCTTCATACTGTACATAGGCAGTTACCTTGTAAGACAGCATCCTAGCCAAATCCTGACTGATTTGAATCACTCTGAGAGAAACACTTTCAGAGTTTATTGCAAATGCTAATGAGTCAGTGCAGTCAAAATATAAGTAAAAGCGTATCGAAATGCTAAGTAAAAGCTTATAGAAAATATTTTTATCAACATTTATTTTAATATCTGTATTAGCAATATTTGTATATTCTGAAATATATTTAAAATTATATCTAAAAATATTTATAAAATATAATATAGAATATTTATTTAGAACAGTTTCCTTAGTCCTATTCTCCGTACTGACTAAAATAGGTATAGTAACATTTCACATAATGTCTACTCTTTCTAAACACCTTACCTCTAGAATGTTCCCTGTGTGTAGGATGGTCAGGAAACATGTGGTTCGCCTGCATGTCCCCAACCGAGGTGTGCTAATGCATACACTCCTCCTGGAGAGTGCTGTCCCTGGTGTCCAGGTACACTTTCACTCACTAACCTCAGATAACTTGATCTTAGTTGTGCACAGTAACAGTTAGTTTCCTCTTGTTGTTTTCTTCGTTTTCAAGACTGTGAATATGATGATAACCACATCATTACTAATTTCAAAAAGTAACTCAGATATTCTCTTGTAAATTAAAAATGCGTTTACTTTACTAGTTACTTGAAAAAAGTAATCTGATTATGTAACTCGCGTTACTTGTAATGCGTTACCCCCCAACACTGATCATGACTGCCCTAAAGACATTAAAAAAATATTACTGACTCCAAGCTTTTGAACAGTAGTGTATATGTATCCGTTGCATTCTGTGTCCATGTATGTAGGATGTACTTGGAATGGTGTTCAATATGAAGAAGGAGCCACATGGACTGACGCTGGCCAAACATGTTTTTGTGTGGGTGGACAGGTGACGTGTAGTAGGCCTAAAAGGGGCTCGGACTGTCCCAAAATGACCCCCGCACCCTTCCCAAATCCCCCAGGTAAGAGAAAGAAAATAAATATGAAAGACGGGGAGAAAAAACAGTGGCAATGTTCCAAACCCAAATGAGTTGTCTCTGTGTCTTCATACTGTACATAGGCAGTTACCTTGTAAGACAGCATCCTAGCCAAATCCTGACTGATTTGAATCACTCTGAGAGAAACACTTTCAGAGTTTATTGCAAATGCTAATGAGTCAGTGCAGTCAAAATATAAGTAAAAGCGTATCGAAATGCTAAGTAAAAGCTTATAGAAAATATTTTTATCAACATTTATTTTAATATCTGTATTAGCAATATTTGTATATTCTGAAATATATTTAAAATTATATCTAAAAATATTTATAAAATATAATATAGAATATTTATTTAGAACAGTTTCCTTAGTCCTATTCTCCGTACTGACTAAAATAGGTATAGTAACATTTCACATAATGTCTACTCTTTCTAAACACCTTACCTCTAGAATGTTCCCATAATGCTTAAAATTGCTATCTAGATAGGCATCTCACTAGGGTTTTGAAGAGCCGCAGAATATTCAGGCTGAGAGGATGAAACTTGCTTAGACTTACATCAGTCGCAGTTAAATCTAGTAAGTTGTTTAGATGTTGATAATTGTATGAAGGTGGCGATTGCTGTGGTGATTCCTGTGGGCAGTGCCAGTACAATCAGCGCTTGTATGAAAACGGCCAAACGTTCAAGGACCCGGATGATGCCTGTAAGACGTGCACCTGTCAGGTACTCGCTATTGGAAATCCTAGATTTGACATTTTATGGATGTTTAATACCAGACAGAAACGGGCTTCAGGGTTTGTATGAGCAACTATTTAAATGTTTCAGTGTTTATTAAATGTTTAACGTTTTGGGAAAAAAAGTGATGTTCTTTATAGTTCTTGTTAAAAGACACTCACCAAGGCTGCATTTATTTAATCAAAAATACAGTAAAACAGTAATATTAGGAAATATTATTGCAATTCAAAATAACTGTTTGAATTTGAATATATTTTAAAATGTAATTTATTCCTGTGATGAAGAGCTGAATTTTCAGCATCATTCTCCAGTTTTCAGTGTCACAAGATCCTTCAGAAATCATTCTAATATGCTGATGAATTTTTTTTAAAGTAATGTTTACAAACTTTTGACAAGTACTGTCATAATTATCAGCTAGTTTATATACATTACTGTGTGTGTGTGTGTGTGTGTGTGTATTTGTGTAGAATGGTCAGACAAGTTGTGCTATGCCTGCATGTCCCCAACCGACGTGTGCTAATGCATACACTCCTCCTGGAGAGTGCTGTCCCCGGTGTTCAGGTACACTTTCACTCAACTAACCTCAGAAGATAACTTGATCTTAAGTTGTGCACACTAACAGTTAGTTTCCTCTTGTTGTTTTCTTCCTTTTCAAGACTGTGAATATGATGATAACCACATCATTACTAATGGAGAATCATTTCCAAATCCTTCGAATCCATGTGAGGATTGTGTTTGCCAAGACGGACGTGTGAACTGTGGGAATCATGAGTGTCCGAGGCCGAATTGTAACTATCCCCGGCCGGGGACGTGCTGCCAAAACAACTGCAATGGTGAGAGTCATAAGCATTACATTTAGATTTAGAAATGAACTTATTTTTTATTTATTTTCAGGTTTGACCTTTGTGAGGGGGTATATTTTCTGACCACATTTACAATTAGATCTTCCGACCACTTTTACAATCCATTATGTCTTAACAATAAAAATTCCATCTACATCAACTAATATTTATAAAACAAAATGTGTAATCAAGCCTAGAATAGAATAGTAATTTATCAGGGGCATATCTGCCCCATATTTTGTTTTTAAAGGAATTTTTTGTTACGTCAGGTGGCTTAAAACCCTGTTAAAGGGATAGTACACTCAAAAATTTAATTCTGTAATCATTTACTCACTTTCATGGCATTCCAAACTTATTATTTTCCCTCTTCAGTGAAACATAGAAGATATTCTAATGAATGTTGGTAACCAAACTGTGTCGGTTCCTATTGACTTGAATTGTATTTTTTGTCAGTGGGAAATGAAATATTCTGAGTGTAAATTAATATAAATAAAGAAAAATAGACATAAATAATAGTACTTAGCTAAAAGAATGTGGAAATCTTAGATCAGTTGGTCTTGAGCAAATCTGAAGAGAAATCCTGGAGTTCCTATTGAAAGATTGCAGACTATCTTGGTAAATCTGAGCTCAGTTTGAGACTTATGCAAAATCTGTTGGTCAGACGAATTTTGTGTACATCAAATTACTCTCCATTTAATGTCATTCCTGTTTAGAAGAAACAGTTGAGGAAACTCTTTCCTATGAGTATATGCAAATCAGTCACTTAAAAAGCTCTTCCTTTCCTTCAGGATGTAGTTATGCAGGTAATGAGTATCCAAATGGAATGGAATTTCCTCATCCAGTAGACAAATGCAGGACGTGCCGTTGTGAAGTAAGTGTTTCTTTATCAGTATCAATACTGTTCAAACATTTGGGGTCGTGAGATTTTTTAGTTTTTGTTGTTGTAATATTTGATTAAAAATACAGTACAGTTTTGTATTTAAATATATTTTAAAATGCAGTTTATTCCTGTGATGAAAAACTGAATTTTCAGCATCATTACTCCAGTCCTCAGTGATGATGCTTCAGAAATTATTCTAATTGCTGATAGCCTGCTCAAGAAACATATTATATGAAACGGCCAAACGTTCAAGGACCCGGATGATGCCTGTAAGACGTGCACCTGTCAGGTACTCGCTATTGGAAATCCTAGATTTGACATTTTATGGATGTTTAATACCAGACAGAAACGGGCTTCAGGGTTTGTATGAGCAACTATTTAAATGTTTCAGTGTTTATTAAATGTTTAACGTTTTGGGAAAAAAAGTGATGTTCTTTATAGTTCTTGTTAAAAGACACTCACCAAGGCTGCATTTATTTAATCAAAAATACAGTAAAACAGTAATATTAGGAAATATTATTGCAATTCAAAATAACTGTTTGATCCTGTGATGAAAAACTGAATTTTCAGCATCATTACTCCAGTCCTCAGTGATGATGCTTCAGAAATTATTCTAATTGCTGATAGCCTGCTCAAGAAACATATTATATGAACTTCTTATCAGTTGTGCTGCTTTTTGTTTTTGTGGAAACAGTCATACATTTTATTTTCAGGATTCTTTAATGAATAGAAAGTTAGATAAATAGTTAATAAATAGAATAGTATTTATTTTAAATAACATCTCATTATAAATACAGGTGCATCTCAATAAATTAGAATGTTGTGGAAAAGTTCATTTATTTCAGTAATTCAACTCA